TCTGGAGAGTGGAAAAGAGAGAGTCAATGTGGCAAACTGTGACTATGGTTACACAGGCAACAGCTGAGAAGTGATGTCAAAGGGCTGTGAAAGTGATGGCTGGAGCTGTGAAGATGAAGACTCTGCTGGATCACTGAGGCAGAGCCAGTTGGTGGCAGGACAGGGACCTAGATGTGGCCAAGGATGTTCCCTTTGAGCTATGGTCCCTGGAGCCTCTGTGGGCTGTCTCTTAGGGAGTGACCTTAGCAGTAAGTTTTGAGGATTTCTTTCACACTTTCTCCCCTTGGTACTGGTAAGTCCTGAAGCATCCCAGTCTGTGGAAGGAATCTTTCTCCCTGGCTTTGTGGTATTGCCTGTAGCGCAAGCACTCTCAGGCTTATGGCAAACACATGGTCAAAGAAATGTTCCATATTCAGAAGCAGTAGAAATGCAGGGAGCCCTAGTCTTGAGCATTGCCAGAGAGGGCTGCAGGGAACCAGAGCAAGCAGATTGAAGTTCATGTGGCTGCAAAGGAGAGAGAGGCTGCCGCATCATTAATTAAAGCAGGTAAGGGACCAGTTAGAGGTGGAGTTTCAGGTACTAGGACTCCTTAGAAGAATGAGAGGAAGAAGCCTCTCTTTGTTCTCTTGAGGTTGGATCCCCAACAGAGTTTGTGAGGAAACCCCATAACGACTCAGGTACATGGGGGTGCTGATTTACCTCAGGCACTCTGCTTCCAATGGTTATATACATACAACCAGGGCCAGGGTGTGGTTGGGAGGGTCTCACTTGTTTCTGGCTGCAGCCCTGGCATGGATTCTCAAGTGCCGGGCAAGAGATGACTTGTTGCTGAAGCCCTTCCCACACTCTGGGCAGGGGAAGGGCCGCTCCCCGGTGTGGGAGCGCTCATGCACAGTGAGATCGGCCAGGTACTTGAAGCTCTTCCCACAGGCAGTGCAAGGATATGGGCGCTCTTCTGTGTGGGATCGTTGGTGCATGGTCAGGTTGGATTGCTGGCTGAAGCGCTTCCCACAAGCAGCGCATGGATAGGGCCGTTCACCTGTGTGGGAGCGCTGGTGCTTGTTGAGATCTGAGGGGTTTGTGAAGGTTTTCCCGCACTCCCTGCAGGAGTAGGGTCTCTCCCCCGTGTGGAGTCGTTGATGCGTGGTCAGTGTTGAGAGGTGGCCAAACCTTTTACCACACTCACTGCAGGAGTAGGGTTTCACACCAGTGTGGGTCCGCTGGTGTGTCTTGAGGTGCGTGAGCCTGTTGAAGCTCTTACCACATTCAACACATGGGTAGGGTCTGTCCTTCTCATGGAGTCTGCCATGAGTCACAAGTTCCTGCTTCTCCCAGAACCTTTCCCCACAGTCCCTGCATCTATGTGGTTTCTCTGTCCTGTGAACACCACCCTCATGGCTTTTAAGGTCCCTTACAGTCCCTGGTGTTTCTTGAGCTGGGAGCTGTGGAAATGTCCTTGGGAGATCTTCATTCTTTGCTGGAAATCCCTTCTGTCTCTTGTGTTCTCCTGGTTCAGGTCCTGGGATAACATTCTCTCCCATTCCACCATGTATTGTTCTGGGAAGATCCAGATTTTCTTGCCTTTGCCAACTGGCCTGCTCTTCAGCACTGCTCAGGATCCCAGAACCTGCTGGTTGGGAGGGGAAAAAAGTCTGTTTCATATGTTGTTGCAAAAGGAAATTGCTCATATCTTGGCAGTGAGGTCTGTCCTATGCAACTTTACAGGCTCTCCATCAGGGATACCCCTGGAAGAAGTCTCATACAGGCAAAATTAGGGAATAGGGGGGTGTCACTAGAGACTTATTTTTTTTCTCCCTTCAGGTCTCCAGTTTTCTTTTCTGAAGACTGTGCTAACCAAACTCTTTGCTACCTTGTTCAGTCCCTCAGAACTGCTGTCTGCTGTTTTAGTAGGTGTCAACTATGTACCCTCTGTTTTCTACTCAAATATACATAAGGTATTAACAGTGCATGAGCTCTTCTCCTGAATTATGCCAGGGGAGTCGGATATTTTTCTCTAATTTATGCTGCAGCAAGATGAGACTGTGGGGACCCTTCTATTCAACATTAGTTCTGCCCACAGATGGTGTATTCAACCTGGGATGTCCTAACCATCACTACGACATCTCTACAATGCTAGATCTCATTCTCCAGGCAGAACTGATGTATAAGTATAGCTTACGTCAGTGCCTTCAGCACATGCTCAGTCCCACAATGCAATATTAAAATCACATAGAGAATGGATCCTAACTGCCATGTTCCTATTACCAAGACAACCTAAAATCTGAAGGAGGATACTGAGGTAAGATGATCATATTTCCCTGGTTTCATAATGGGACACTGTTCCTTCCCATCACTGTCCAAGAAGCTCAGCTGTCTTCAAGCTCGTCTCAACTGAGTATTTGTGCATAGGAGAATCACTTGTTTTCACCAGGACAGCCTCATTTTAAACTACTGTCCCAGGCAACCTGCTAAAAACCAGACAAAAGTCTAAGACTGGTGTTTACAATGGAACTGTTCTAGAAAAAACAGGACACGTCGTCACCCTACACTGAAGGTCTGTAGACATGATGTGAAAATGGTGGGCAAGGACATGGTGCTAGCCATGAGAGGTACAGCCAAGCAGACCAAACACACCCCTCATGGCTCAGGTCCTGGAACCTGCCACATCTGAGAGGTGATTGACTGACTAGGCTAAAAAAATAAAGGACATCCTGACTTTGGATGCTGTGAGAGAGTTGTCAGCATTAGGTCAGGTCCTGATTGGTGTCCCTTGGAGTGTGTGTGAGATGTAGGGCTAAGTCAAAGGTGCGAGGATGCAGTGGAGATCCTTCATCACACCTAAGGGAGATCTGCACATGCTGAGACTGGGAAAGAGGCATTTAGCTCAACTCGTGAGAAGTAGTGAGGCTGGTAGAGAAGCACTAGAATAGCCACACAGCTCTGTGTGTCCTAGTAGGGGCAAGAATGTAAGGCCATCTGGAAGAAAAACAGCATTTTAGTCATTTGGCCGTACCCAGGTTGCTCCCCTGGACATATGAGAATGAAAATGATTGTCCTACATCTGACAGACACCTGCTTGAGAAGTGTTGGGAATGTCACAGTTATGTGGTACCTTTCATAACTAAAACATCTCTCTTGGGTGAGACTTAACAGCTACACTAGATCTGGCAGGAACATCTAAACACGTCTGCTAAGAAAAATACGGAAGGAGTCCAGAATGTTATAATCACTGTACTCAGAAGTGGCAGCTCCTTGCAAAGCACTTAGTGCTGTGGTGGCTGCCTGTGGAGGTAGATTGTATAACTGTGTTAAAAAAGGGACTAAAATTCATGGGGGACAGGTCCATCAGGTGTTATTAACTAAAACAATCAGGGATGTGTCCTTTGACATTCCTAAACCAATGGTGGCTGATGACAGGGGATCAGTTGTTTGAGATGTGTCTTAATCATATATTCTCTGTCTAAAACATCTAATTTTTACCATTGTTGGAGATGAAGTACTGGGCTAGATGGCACATTGTTCTAACCCAGTAAGGCACTTCTTGTGTTCTTAGGTAAATTGCTATTTGATAGAAGAGACCTGTTTGAGGGTCTGTGGAAGAAAGGCTTGGTGATGCATGAAATATTTGTGCCAGAGAGAATCAAAGACCAACTTGTTGCAGGAACCTGCTGAAGGATCAAGAAGATGGAAACTCCACAAAGGATGGCTCAGTGGGAAGATGTGCAGCTGGAGCAGGGGTTGATACAAAGAGCAAAGGAGAAGGGAAACTTCTCCTTAATCTTATGTGCTGTAGGTGAAACAGCAGCAGGAACTATAGGCAAAGCTGGGAAAGTTACCAGGTATATTACAAGCCAACTTAGAAATAACTAAGTTGGGCAGGACTTTGCTGCAAATGTGAACATGCCCACTGTATAGCATGTTCAAAGAGTCTCTGAGCAGCGTAAACCCAGGGGCTAAACACACTTCAGCCCTCACTACTCTACAGTTCCCATTACTGCCACCCCCAGAGGGGCTGCTCCAAAGCTGAACTGCAGCTGTGGGGATGTTCTATTTAGTCCCAGGCCTGGTACATGTTTCCCTTGGGTCTCCTTGATAATGTTTCAGGAGTTTCTGCTGTCTCTGGCCATTTCTTCTGATGATTCTTCTCCTTATTCTTACTTACTATTTGCTGGAAGTGGAAAAAGACCTCCTGCTTCTGTGCTGAGGAGACATGTCAGGGTCAGATTCCCTTGAACTGCCCTCCAAAGAATGAAGAAAATTATATTCGTACCCAAACCACCCATGAAAGGGTTTGGGTTTAATTTGGTGTTCCCCACTACAACTACCAATGAAAGGATGGAGGGGGGAAGTGGCCCGGATATAGAGAAGCCCAAGGGTCCTGAGGCACAGTACTGAGCAGGAAATGCAAAACAGGTAAAAAGAAGGGGCCACTGGACTGGAGCTGAGAATACAGTCCACAGTCCTCCTTTTGTAGATCAATAATGTACGTATGAGATACCAGCCTCCAAGTAGGCTTGTGTGCTGAGACCTCAGTTCTACCCGTGAGCTCTCCAATCAGACACATCTTCCAGTGCAGTCTCCTAAGGCTCCTCTGAGCCCTGTAAGAGCCAACTCCTTGTGATTGGCCTCCCCATTTCTCACGCATATTTCCTGCTGTCTTCTAACTATGGAATGGTAGCTCCATTTCTCACAGAAAATCCTTTTAGCCATCCAGTTCCCTCTGTTCTCACCTGCATATTCAGCTTTGGGAACAGTCTCCTTCCTAGCCCTGCTGAGCCCTCCACACTCTTTTCAGTGAGATAAGCAGCCCCTTAGCCCCACTGTTGGCTTATTACCAGTTTCCTGTAGAGTTTGGGTCTCATCTGCTGGAGCACAGGACAACCTGTACTTGCTTTGTCCTTCCTCATCCTGAGATTCACCTTCAGGAGTGAACTGGGGACTCTGAGATTCCCATAATGCTTCAGGGGTCTCCAACTCCTCTGGAGTCACTTCCTCAACCTTCACACGCACAGTGACCTGAGGAAAAAAACCAAAACAAATAGTTCCCTGTTGAGCCAAATCCTCAGAATCATGAAGAAGAGCCATATCTAATAGATCTATATTAGCAGGGAGCTCTACCTTCATGCTCAGTAGGGCTTGAAAGCACAGGACACGGATGAGTGGGCTCATTCCTGAAGCTATTTTTCTCTCTGATAAGCCAAAGAGTTCAACCACAAGAACTGCGGCCTGCCCCTGTCAGTGAGGGTCAATGTTGTAGTCAACATCCATGGCATCTTTCAAAAATGCTACAGATATGAATCTTCCTACTACCTTTGAACCTAGTGGACTCATGGGGTCACAAGACCCACCAATATCCATAGGAATCAGCAGTTCCCACACAGGCCTTCAGGAAATCTCAGCAATAGAAAATCTTTCTTAAGACAGTGTGTATTGCCAACAATTACCAATGTCATTGTGAGTGAGATGGGGAGAGATTGTGCTAACTCAGCACTTCATCTTCCGGGGATATAATAAAGGCAAAAGTTTTAGGAGCTCTGACACCTCTACTTCTCCACAAACTCCAGTAACTGATTGATGATAGCCTCTTTTGAGAATGGTCACTAATTTGCATGTGGGCTTTCATTAGCATACAGCAACATGGACCTAGCAGGCATGTCTGTTAAATTCTGAGCATCCACTGAAAATTCTTGGGCACAGTTAATATCTGCTTTGAAAAATCCCTGGGCACAAAACGTAGGCTGAGCCTTTGTTGTGGAACAAAGATGGGTACTTGTCCCTGGGCAAGATTAGGTCATTTGCTGTGATTAGAAACTACCCCTTCTCTGTCTCTCATTTCAGGTCTGTGGCATGAATCACAGAATAGGAAAACTTTTGTAAGAGCATATTTAAAACCAGTTACCAATTTTGCTATCAACATATTCACAAGGCTTCTTTATCAATTTAGATACTAGTAAGTCATCAAACTGTCCTCATCTTCCCCACATGCGCAAGCGAGTTGCCAAATGGTTCTGAGTGACCTTTCATACAGAGAAGGCAGTGACATTTTTCAGCAATAAGAACAGCAGTGCCTGCAGGGTACAGCTCACAGAGCACTGCACTGAGGAAATCCCAATGGTTGGGCAACCAGAAGAGCTCCACACACCCAGAGCACTTGAACTGCCATCTCTGAAAGCAGGTTTGCACAGAGCCAGGCTCTCTCTGTCTTTATAGCATCCTCTGTGCTCACCCAGAACCTAAACATAGCGGGTCAAATTCCTTACAGAGCCTAAAAGGGCAATCCTCTTGAACATCCCTCTGCATATGCTCTCACCTGCTGCTCCCACATCCCCACCTCTCGCTGTCCCAGCTGGAAATTCTCGGCCAGGGACACTGCCTGTGCGCAGGTCTCTGGGTGACGCACCCAGATCCAGCTCTGGATTTCCTCTGGTAGGATGGTCAGAAATTGTTCCAAGATCAGCAGCTCCATGATCTGCTCCTTGGTGCGGATCTCTGGCTTCAGCCACCGATGGGAGAGCTCCCGCAGGTGGCAGTAAACTTCTCGGGGCCCTTTGGCATCTTGGTAGCGGAACTGCCGGAAGCGCAAACGTTGCATCTCTGTGCTGATGTTGCACCCTCGCAGGATGGCTGCCCTCACCTTGCCATAATCTCGAGCATCTCTGGCATTCAGACTGCTCACGGCCTGTTGGGCTTTTCCTGTGAGAGCTGGCATGAGTCGGGCTACCCACTCTCTTCTGGGCCACTTGTAGGCTTCAGCCACTTGCTCAAAGGAGGCCAGATAAACCTCGATGTCATCCTCAGGTGCAAGCTCTGGCAGTAGTGGATTTTCCCCAGCAGGATCTGGAGTAGCAGGAGTTCGTAGCACCTTCTGGGCTCCCAAATGCTGGGACACCCCTTCCTGTTGCAGTTCAGTCCTGACCTGGTGGAGTCTCGTCCGGGACCATCGGGGAGTGAGTGAGATGGATGCTGCTACAACAGGATCTTTGGCTGCTTGTTCCAATTCCTTCCCTGGTTCTAGTTCAGCTGAATCCATTATTTCCATTTCCTCTTGTGTTGGCAGCACCTGCTAAAATAAAGCCTGGGTCTGGCCACTGAGGGCTTGCTGGCCTCCCGGCTCTGCAGCTGTCCTCGGCTGTGGGGGCTGCCCTTATCCTATACAGTGCTCTATATAGTACTCTAGTTCTCCAACCTGCATCTGTCCGTCATTCCTCCTGGAAACGTCCAGCCTCCTGGGATCTGCAGCGAAACACTGAATCCAATTATACTGCATGAGAGAGAAGACAACAACTAGGCAGTAGAAGAGAGACCCAGCCCAAATTCATCCAGACATCTGACCTGTAACCTCTGCTTCCTGCCTCGTCAGCACCGCTTCCCTGACCCCCTGTGAATTGCTTCCCTCTCTCCCTCTCCCGCATTCCTTTCCCATCCAGCCCAAAGGCCTTCCCTGACCTTTAACCCTAGCCCCCCAACTCCGCTCCCACGTACAGCCCTTGCGTCACCAACTCACCCGTGCCTACCCCTATTTTTCTCAGGGGTGGGGGACTGGGAATAGGTGGGCTTGGAAAGTCTCCCCAACACAAAGAAATGCAGCCGCTTCCTTCCCAGAGAGACAGGAACTCCCCCCTGGCGAGTGCATGGTTAATCTCCCTTCTGCTCTGCAAGGACTGGTCGTCATCCCTGTCAGTCAGCTGGAGAGGCCGTTTTAACCCTTCCTGAAGCAACCCCAGCCTCCCAGGCCAGCCTCATGAGCTGAGCAAGTGCTTGCCTGAGTTGGGGGCATGTGAAGGGTTAACTCATCCCGCCTTCTACACCTCCCCCCAGTCAGCATAGGGAATCCAGCCAGGATAACATGGGTGGTGCTTGCTCTGGCTAATCCTGTTCTCAGTACAAGCTTTCTTAGCAAGCAGGGTTCAGCTGGTTGCCCAGACACTGAGATTTTCACCTTTTCCCCTTGCTTCATGCCTTTTTTTTTTCTTCAAATGCTGCTGTTCATGCACAGCTCCCTGCCCCCACCCTTCTGAAGTAAGGCAAAGACTTCAGCACAGTCACCACACCATCCCTTAAAGAGATAGAAAGGCATCTGAAACAGGCACCATGGAGGGGGGTGGTCTGTCTTTTAAAATGTGTTATGAAAGAG